GGCAATATTATCTTTTATCGCAATAAATTTTGAGACAATTAATCGCCCAGCAAAATTTGCTATCGTGACAGGCCTATTTGAGAAATCCTGCAGCGTTTTTAGGCAGCCATGCTGAGGAGCAAAACGACAGGTGGGGACCAGAAACGCCTCTTGGATGTGTCTTTAAGCCGAACTTCCTCATCACGGAGCACACCTCCCCACCCCACACACCCCACCCATGACTCCTGCAGGCTCTCAGCAGTAACAAAGCAAAGTGAAAGTGAAACTTAAACTGTCTGCTGCTCTTAACACTACCGCTCACTCAGTGAAGCTCTTTTCAGATTCAAAGTACCTTTGAGGAAATGTATTTTCAGACRTCAAGTAAACTGCATCATAGCGCATACGCGAAACAAACCCCCCCCTTCCCCCCACAGTGAAATGGGATGGGACAGAAGCGGAAGGTGGTTCTTAAAGAGACAGAGGCCAATTTCAAGGCGTTTAGGAGAGGAAGTGATGATAAGTTTATTTTCTATTTAACCATAAAACAGCATTTTAATAACAGCTAAAGGTGACATAGATACTTTATTATAGTATAGCATTTAAATGTATGCCTGAGAAACATAACATTGCCCCTTTAAGTTTTTGTTTTTTAAACCTCACTTACGTCTTACATACAGTTTCAATTGTTTGTAATTTATCATATGACTAATTTTAGATCTTCAGGATAATTGGAAAATAAACAAGCTTTTGTTATCTGAATGTGCTATAGTGTGAAAACTGCAATGTGACGAATGTAATTCTATAATGATCAAATATGAAAAATTAATTGTACTAAATCATTATTGCTTTCTGTTCCATTTGCTCGGACTGAATTGGGAAAGGCTTTTATCCATTCTGCACCTTCTACATGGAGTACAGTACAGAGCAGAAAGACTGGAAACTGAGTTGATTTCACTGAGTGCTTTTAAATCAAAACTGAAAGGTCTTGAAACTGACTCCATCGCTTGCACTTGTTTTTAATTTGTTTAAATTTAAATCTTTTAATGTTTTTTCTATTTGATGTTTTTAAATTTGTTTTAAGATGTGAAACTATGTGTTGCATTTGCAGCTGCCAATCTTGGCT